TCTTCTCAACCATGTTTTCTATTCCCACACCACCTGTGATACCCAAAAACAAGGAAGCGAGCACGTTTGAAGAAATTAAACAACAAAAATTTAAATGAGGGAAAAAAATGCCAGAACTTCCAATTAAAATCATTGAAAGTACCTAAACATATTGCGCTGACAAAAATGGTGAATGCTAGTACAAAGATGATGATGGATGCTCGACCGAAGATAGCAATTATCTTTCTCACCACATGCTGGCCAGTTAATGCAGCTATGGTTGCAATCAAAACAAAGTAAGCAGCTGCAACCCCCACCAAAAAAATGACAAACAAGAAATTAGTACCTTTCATAAATTACAAAAGGCTTAAAGAAAAGATATGACAAAGTCCATTGCGTTTAGTATGAGTTTCAATTATCTTTCCACAAACCTACTATGTTATTTACTACTAACTACTTAAGAATGGCTTAATTAGTTTTGTTTATTGCTTCTTACCATAGGGTACTGGGAAGCGTTCTAGAAGGTAATATTGCACCACTGACATTGAGGAAGAGAAAACCATAGCAAAAGTTGATGTAGCACTAGCAACCTGTCACAAATACACATTCATCAAGACTATATTTTCATGTCAGATTGTTCTGGGAAACCAAACAACCAGTAAATGCTCAACAAGAGATGAGTCAGTACCTGAGGAGGAATTCCCAATTCCAGAAACAATGGTCCCAAAATGAAGCCACCCCCTAGACCAAGTAGTCCACTAACTAAACCAGCTATTATTCCACAGGAACAGTAGAGACAGATCTTGTGAAACTTCCAATCTGTGATTTCCTTTCCCTTCGATGCAATCACTCTAGTTCCTTTGCGTAAGCAGATGGCTTCATAAAGCGTAACAGAGATTGCAATAGGCACCTTAAGTGATAAATAGGCAAGCCAAATTTCATTTAGACCATAAGGTGAAATGGTATGTGTAAGTTGCAGCAAAGATATGCACTTCAGTTCAAAACTAGTTGATTTGCTAGATACCAGTGCTCCAACGCAGGATCAGCCTTTACACAATATATAGCACAATTTTATTTTATTTTTGTTGCTGTAAAATTACGAGATAAGTTTCTAGATATTGTCTAAGTTCAGCTTGCCTCTCATGTTGTCTTTGTAGCCATTTGACAGTTTCTAGTAAATTAGTAATTACTCTGCTAACCATTTCTGATTAGTTTGCCTATTACTTCCTTCAGACAAATTGCTTTTGTTATGAAGTCTACAGACTACAGTTTCAGCCCACTGCATTTTTTTTCCTATGTTTGTTAAATTTGCATCTTGGCCAAACTGGCAGCTGAAAGCCATATCATGTGCAGTACTATCACATGTATTTTTGTTGAAATACTAATATATTTAGAATGTTTACCTGCAAGGAATTAAGAATCCAGTACAGTATGGAGCAATTTTTGCTGTATGTCTGCATTGAAACACAAAAAAGGTGCATATTCAGTGAACAAAAAGTTTTGTTAGATCAAACCTGATCACTAAACAAAACTCCCAGTCTCGTCCAAGGACTTCAACCTATGACCTTGCTTTAATACCACCTGTTATATATAAAGTGCTCATCACTAGACCAAATACTACAATTGACAGTGAGGGTGTAACTTTATTTCCAAAATTTCTCAGAATTGCATCGAGCTTAAGGGTTTACCCCCATATAGGCTTCTTAGTTACAGGGGATATTAAGTGCATCATATCCAAAAGGATACACAGAGCCTTCAAATATAAAACTCGGGTTCTCCAAGCCTAAATTATGTAGAAGCAACGTATCTTAATCCAAAGAGGCAGCATGAACTTATTACAAGGATTGACTACATGACCATAGGATCAAATTAAAAGAATGACTCAAGTATACAGGTCTAGGGACAGCATTTTCCCTTGCTTGAGATTGACAACAGAGATTTTAAAACCCACAAACTGCATGCTTGTGACTAGTGAATCACAAAACAAACCAAATGTAAAAACTACCTTGATAATCTGAACAACGAGAAAAGCCACCCAGACATAGACAAGGACTAATAATTCTTTCCAGTAGATGTTCTTTAGTAAAGGGACCTGCACACCAGAATTTAAAGGAATGTATAAGGCTAAATAAAATATAAATAAACTTCCAATGAGGAATGATTTGAAAATCCCTTGGAATTACCTCCTCATCTCGTGGATCAGCTGAGCCACTTGGTAGTGACTTGTAGTCTTCTTCAGAAGCATCTGCATTATGGAGTACGGGCAACAGAATTTCAACAGTAATATTTAAGAGATTTTCTACGAGGTCTTTCGAATGTTAAGGACTAAAGCTTTGATTACGTAAGAGTAGGCTTATTTGTGTTTATCAATATCAACTTATCATAAGTGTGCAATCATTGTTATAACCAGATGATTGTCTGAACAAGTTCCTCTTTTTTATGTGAAATTGTAAATATGATTTTGTTTTTCTTCCCTTCTATAATTCTGTGTAGAAGTAAGTTGTACAGAATTACAAAACAACTCAAACGAAATTCTATCTATGATGATGAGTTTTGAGTTGATCCATTTTCCTATTTCCTATCCAAAGATTTTTTCCTATCTTTTGTGTTTTTTTTTTTTTTTTTTGAGGAAATATTTTTTCCTGTTCTTAACTATGAGTTTAGATGCTGACACTCAGTGACAAGGAGTAGGGGAAGTAAACGCTCTCTGAGCAATTATGCATTTACTATATCCATATAAACCCTGGAAGATTTCACCCGTAATGCAAAGTTGTGACGTTGAGTTCGTGCCTGAAGCAGGACCGATAAGGGGAAAGTAAATATGTTTCTAAATTCTTCTCTCATAAATCTTATAATGCAGTATCCTTAATTTGCTTCTTATAGATTTTGCAACAATTATTTAAGTAGTTGCTAAAAGTTTCTATATAATTTATGGGATAGTCTGTAGGGACTTACAACCAGGAGTAGAATCTGATTCCAACATCTCGGCTGCTTCCTGAAATTTCAGCAGCATAGTATTATTCTTGATATCAAGTAGAATAATACAGATTCAACTTCAAAATTTTGAAAGGGTATAAAGGTAAATTTACCTTTTTCATATTTGTTTCCTTTTTCCATGTATCTATGCCTTTGAATAAAGCTTTTGTGGATGTACCTACCACCGATTAGTTTCGTTAAAATTCCATCGAGCTATAATAAAGTATTCAGAACTGAATCACAAATCAATACTATCAATAACTGATATTAAGCTGGTTATTAAATCATAAATTCAATAACTGATATGTGCTTATGTAATATGTTGACAACAGAAGATACATTAATACATTCCTTCTCTGGAAGATTACATTTAAGATAAACAAAAACATCATTCATAAAAAATTAAACATGCAAATTTAGTAAATCTTTATTAAAAAATATTTATTATTTTTAAATACTTAAATTTAGTTATAAAAAATGAGATTAACATAGCTGAACTAATTAAAACGGTTCTTTCTTCCCGAAACACTTCCACAAGAACGCGTGTATCCGCAATATAAGACTGCCCCAAAAATTAATTAATTCGAAAGATGGAAGTTATGCTAAGCAGATAACGATTACCGATGAATAAAATGATAAGCAAAACTGTCACCATCCAATCAGCAAACATGACATTAAATGCAACACCGATGCTTATTCCTAGCATTAGCATAGGCTGGAAGAGCAAAGCCAGATCATAATCTATAACTGGCAAGTCAAGTGTTGGGTGCCTAAGCCTCATATTGTAGTACACAGTTGATCCCGCTGCTCCCATAATCATACCTGCCATTATGAAAATCCAGAAATTTAATCAACTGGCACTAAACCAACTTAAAGTATTGATGGTTAGGTGTAATATCCCTATAGCATTTAAATTTAAGACGTGACACTATAAATATTTGTGATTTTATTAATCTCTATCAGTTTAAATAATTAATAATAGTATAATTCTACGAAAAAAAATATTTATTACACTTTTATATTTTCAATATAATAAATATGTTTCTAATAAAAATTTATTCTGTATTCTTAAACTGAGCCTAAAAACTGATATTAACAAAACCGAAATACTAATTTCGCATGCAAACCAACAAGAAAATATTGCCATCTTAATTCATAAAAAGACGATGAAGTTTAAACTTAAAAATGCTTGTATCCCACTCTTTAGATCAACAATTTGAACTTTTGTACAGAGAGAATGCATTATGGCTATGTTTTACTACTTGTGTAAAGCATGAAAGAAAAGAATACACAGAATAGAGCAATAATAGCAATATACTAACACTTAGAAATGGCTGTAGAAGACTTAGCGTCAAAGCCAATGATCAAAGTGAGCATTGGGATAAAAATTCCTCCACCTCCTACTCCGCCTATACTTCCCAACGCTGCTCCGAAAAATCCAACGATGGATCCTACTACAATTCTCCAACCAAACTTCATTTCCTGCAATATCATGAAATAAATGAATACCTAAAAACATAGCTAAGTACCAAAATGTGATTCATGATATACAAATGTGCTTGATAAACTCACAGGCCAAACACGTTCATTGGAAGATTCTCCATTCTTCCAGAAGAAATCAACTACATTAATCATAACTCCTTGTTTTCCTTTCACAAGAAAGTTCTCTGGTTTTTGGTCTTTCAAAACTCTTTCTGCTAAACTGACATTGTGGATCATAATAAGGCTCCACGAGACCAGACATATTGCAGTTGCTGCTGCTCTTGAAGTCTTCTTTTTCACTTCTATTGCCATGCGTGAATGGTGTGAACCAGAGCACGGAATATAGATAGAATAAATGATATAGGAGTACAGGATCAGTGCTATATGCGCTACCTCTCCGTTTTTTACTTCCTCTGCTTATTATTTTTATTTTGTATTTTTTTTTATGCTGGTTCTACAAGTACGGTGGAGGGAGGAAACTATGAAGGTAAGGACTAAGGAGTGCATTTTTCGGTACCATCATCCTCTCTTTATATAACAAATTCACACTTTCTCTCCCTCCCTTTTCCCATCTCATTGCTTCATTCCTGTTTTTCAACCCGCAGTTTGTTATATGATCGATTCTAAAAGATTCTCCTCACGGTAATTTACTAATTCGTACGTACTCGCATTAAACAGGCAGTTATTGGAATGCATTATGTAAAGGAATGTTAACCTATTTTTTTTAATGCATATTTTTATTGTTAGTTAATTTTTAAAAATGAAATTAATTTTTAAAGTAATGAATTTAAAAAAATAAGTATTTTGACTTCAATAAATTAATCACATAAAATTTATTAAAGAATTTGATCAAAAAAATATATTGCTAACATTTCTCTAACAATATTGATTTTGACAAATGCAAATTGTGGTCAGTTTCCTCCCTTTTTTTTTTTTCCTTTTCTTTAACTTTTTTCTTTGTTTAATGTGGTATCCGAAGGGCTACACTTTTGGTTCATTTGAAGGCCCCAGACCTTTGACTATGATCGAGGGAGAAGCGACATTGAAATTTGAACATATAAACTCATTTTATTTGTTCAAATGTCACACCCTTAACCCAATTTTGATTGTTTACACACGTTACTCATATACACTAATTATGATTATCATTATAGCATTGTTTTTTTACTTTATTATACATATGAATTATAGGCTGGATCTCATATTACAAGTACCGTGTTGGAACAGTGGTGAGCGAGGGATGTAACTGTTCATCAATTATAGTCACTCCAGCTGTTACCGCTGCACCCTTTTTCTACCAATAGTATACAGTTTTCTTTTCATCAAACAAATCCAAGAAAAGTGAATTAGAGTGAAAATGTTTTTAACGGTGGTTTAAAAGGTACATATTTGGCAATAATGGAACCAGAGTCAGACTCACCAGTTGCGAAAGAGGACAACTTACAACAACGCAGCACTTTTAGGATCCAGAGCAAGGAACAAGCCAAAAGGGTCCTAGGAAGCTTCATGAAAGAAGCATTAAACAATGAAGTGCCTAACTTAACGTTCAAGCGTTCATTCATAGAGATAACTATGCGTCCTTTCTAATCTAACGTCACAGCAAACTATGAAGCTTCACGGTAATTTCATACGCTTTTGGCTTTTCGTTTATCGCTTTTCATTTATCGTATAACGGACTCGCAGTACCACTCATCTTTTTCTCTCCATTGTTTCAGGTGGCATTGGGGGCAGACGGGAGCGCTCATCTTTCCATACAGGCCTCCTCTTTCATCAGAATTTCATCTATCTTGCAAGTTGCAAGACGAAATATCCAATGTCAAGTTCCTGTAGCGCTTTAACAATTATTATATTTGGAATCCTTACGGTTACTGCAAAACAAACGACTATAAGAAAATATCCCAAAACAATCTTTGTTAAGAGGGAAGGACCAACTATTGAGAGAAGCGAGGCTTAAGTTAGAATGGTTAGGCCTATTTGCATTTTAAAATACCTTGTCCATGGACCATCAACCTCCAATCGGCAAGATAATGAAGTGAAACTGTTGTAGTTATAAATAAAACAAATGCTGCAGAAATAAAAAAAAAAAAAAAGCGTATTTATGCCAATAATATAACTAGATGTGTTTTGGTGCATAAGTTCTCAAAACTTTAGCCCGCCAAAGTGGTGCACAACTGAACACATGGTATTGTCGGGGAATAAAAAAACAAACTGATCTAAAACTAGCAATGCACAATCCCCTCAAACCACGCTTTTCTCAAGGGCTACCCAGACTCTAGGTTAAAATTGCAATATACTTCAGTTTTATTATGAAAGAGTCCGACAAACGTTTGAATCAATGCCAAAAATTTTCCTTCAATATTTCTTCCCTCTTTGTATACAGCAGATTTCAGATGAATAATCAAAAACCTCATCATATCGGATATCCATCTCCCAAAAAATGTCTACTAAAATTGACAAAATCACTAAACCATGCAAAACCAAAAATTGGCACCTCGCAAAGGCAGGAAACCTAAAGTAAAATCTTGATCATTTGAATATGCAACTTCGCCTATTATTTGGCTCTCACCTTTTCGAGTTAAATTCAAATAAACAGTCCATGTAATATATTAACCGGAAAACAAACCCCTCATCATTCAACATCTAATGAAAGCAAGGTATCTATAGTCAGCTGACTTTGTAATGTAAGCAAATACTCAAACTAGTTTCATGCATATCAACAGAACAAAGATACCTTTAAATCCAGAAAATTGATCCCACAACTGGAAAAAAAAAAAGTTTCTTAAAATGTCTCGAGAAAACAAAACCAACAATTACCAAAATATTAGAAGTGCATGTCCATATTGAGAAACAACTGAAAACACCCAAGCTACATCAGTAAGGCTTTCAACATCAAACATGAAAATCAACAGATATGAATAGCAGCAGCTGAGTTCTTTTGTTGTGCCTTGATCACTCCATGCCTGAATCCATCAATAGCTACTAAGAACCAATCCATAATTTATAGCCTGACTGACAAAAATTAACCATAACCAAATAGGATACTGAAATTTATACCATGAATCTTACCAGTAAAGTGGAGAAATATTGTGCTCATTCCTAGTAATCATATTCCCTGGAATGAGACCTCTCTGAGCAACGATATTCACGGTCCATATCCTGATTTTTCTCCCTGTCACGAGATTCAGATGTTGCCCTTTCAGTGTGGTAGTCATCTTCCATCCTATCACGATCAGGATATTGATTGTAATGTTCACCATGGTCATCTCCATCATCATACTGCCCCCTTCCTCGGTGATGCTCATAGTGATCATAATGATCAGGATCATGGTCGGGATCTCCATACTTATTATGTCCATGCCCATGTTGGTTGTACCACCCACGATCATCCTCAGGGTCATAGTCACGCTCTCTTTCACCATGCCGTTCCTTCTCATGTTTAGATTCCACATGATCATAATCAGTCTCCCTATCATGCGAGCGTCCTCGATCAGTTTCCCCAATTTCATAATCCCTATCTCTCTCCCGATAACGATCATGTTCTCGGTCCCGGTCACGATCCCTCTCTCGATCACGATCACGGTCGCGCTCTCGGCCACGATCACGGTCGCGTGTTCTATCTCGATCACGTCCACGATCTCTCTCTCTTTCCCTTTCCCTGTCTCTGTCCCTATTCCTATCCCGGTCTCTGTAGTGCCTATCATCTCTATAATCACGGTCCCTGGCCCTATCGCTAGAGCGTTCACGTGACCTCTCCCGTTCTCTATCTCTTTCTTTGCCTCTTTCCCGTGACTTTTCTCTGTCCCTAAAATGGAGTCAAATAGCAGTCAAAGTTAATAACTTATAAGATAATGGATGAAAGAATTGTAGGCAACTCCTCAATGGCGCAGAAATTAATGCAAGAAAGTCATAACCCCCTCTCCTCTATTGTAAACAAATTAATGTATGATCAGTAGTCATTTGTCTTGTACCAAAATCAACTAGTTAAAATAAAGCAGAAATATTGAAATTCTTACCGATCACCATGCCGATCCTCCCGCACTCTAGGTTCTTCAGAACGAGAAGGTCCTGACTGCTGTTGCTCCCTGAATAAATTAAGGCATGTCAGAATTTCCCATCAACAATCAAATCAGTGTGTTCAGACTAAGTATTCTAATTTGTAATACTCAGTACTCATAAGTCGCAACAATCAGTGTGCTGCAAATTGAGCAAGATAATTCAACAATCAACAAGAAACATTAAATGCAAACACAAAAAAATTATTTTTATTTTCAAGAAAAAAAAATTACTTCATTGGAGGGTTGGGGTTCAGTTATCGTAGTAGACATAAGATTTCTCCAATAGATAACATATTGCCAAGGTCCAATTTACATATGCATGGATCATGGATGCGGAAAGGTTTAGAGAATTCCTTACAACTGAAGAATCAAAGAACCCCCGGTCCACCCAGAGAGTGAGGATTTTCATGTTGCCAATATCTCAACTAAATACAATACCTATAAATTTATACCTACCAAGATATCAAGCACCTCATGGATATGGAACAATTTCATAACAACTAATCTTTTCAGTCTTCACTTTTAGTTGTTTAACTTCAGGCTATTTAGAAAAGCCAATGAGGTTTAAAACAATCAATAAATGAAGCTCAGACCATTTACCTCCCAGAATGACGCTGATTAACTTCTTCACCCCCAACTCTAGTAGTTCCAAGCCCACCACCTAGTCTGCGAGGGCGCCAATTTGGAACAGTCCTCCCACGTTCAACATCCACAAGCACCCTTTTACCTTCAATTTTCCTACCATCAGCTTGTTTATAAGCAGCTGCAAAATTTGATATAAAAAATGGGGGTGAAAAGTCATGTATGTATATCAAGTAATAACCAAACAAATCACACAAAACCAATATCAACCTTTCATGTCTCTCGTGTGCAAATACTCAATGAATGCATAACCCTTGGGCTTATTTGATACAGTGTCAGTAACCAATCGAACCTAAATCATATGAAATTGGAAAGAGAAAGAATAGTCAGAAGAAAACATTCTGTATAACCGCTCAATAGAAGAAAGTATAAAAGATGCTCTCACATCAGAATCAATAAAAATACAACCAAAACAAAATACTAATACTATAATCCTAAATGGCACGGCAGACAGGCACTATGCCTAATTAGCCGTGCTCACCTTTAAATCACAAAGCTCCCATCGCGAGATGCATCACCACCGCCAATAGTTGCAGAAAAACTGATGTATTTGTGCCCAATTAACCAGTTGTTGACTAGCGTCCCCTTACCAGGGATATTTGTTTTTAAATTGATAAAATTAAAACAACTATGGGTAACATAAAAAAGATACCATGACATCTTCTCAACGGCTGATTTGGTTTTGATAGCCTTTAAAGCCAAAAAATAAAGTTTTAGCAACATCAAAGTAGGTTAACTAAGAATTTAAACAAAAGAGGAAGAGATTGCAATACTCCCAACATATTTTACCCAGTGCAGGAAAAGAACAGAAGTTGTCAGTCTCCTTTCTTGCTTGAAAACAAGACCAAAGGCACAATTTTGCATCATTGCCCTGCCCAACTAGATACCATGCACGAGAAGCATTTGAATGGGAATTGGGTTTGATTGAAATTTGAGAATTATTTACCATTTGCAGAAAAAATTGATCACCCATTACCAGGAATGTCTATTGAGATGCTAAACTTGCTGCTAAAACAATTCCTACCCAATGCCCCAAGATCTCCTATCCACATATCAATAGTGGAATGAAACTAAGTGGAAATTAACTAAAGAAACCAATAAATAAAAAGCATTGAATTTATTGGAGGCACCAATGCAGTTCTTATCATTTCAAAGCCACTCAACAAGGATAAATTCAATCAAGAAGATGCATAATTTATACCCTTGAAACTTTGGACAGAATGGGATAAAAAATATGCATAACCAATTAACTTCACAACAAGCTGGTTACCATGAGAATCATTAAAATTACAAACAGTCAAATCAGCAGCAAAAGAAAAAAGTTTGAAAAAAGCTATTTACTATTAGAATAAAATAAGATAGTTCATTATTTTACTACGTATATACATATAGAAATTACTGAATTTGAAAATATGTTTGGAAGGTTCATAGCCAGTGAAGATGTCAAATATAAGTAAAACACAGGATAATAAGAACCTAACATGTACTATACTCTTACCGAATCCCTTCAGGGATATTCAAAACACCTACCCGTTTGATTGCACCATATGACTCAAACTCCCTTTTGATTCTGCTTTCAGTGGTCTCATAACTCTGTTAGAAGATGGCACCAATGAGATACAACAAGCAATATGCTACTCAAAAGTGCCAGACAAATACAAGATTGTATAATAGAACTTACGAGTCTTGCCACAAACAATGTCTTGTATGGATCTCCTGACATATTTGGGTCGTTGTGTGGATCATCTACATTGAAGCATTTACAAAAACAGCATTCAGAAAATGTAAATCTACAAAAATTCATAAAATCATAGTAATAAACGAGTCACCACATTTCTCAAGCTCCTCAGCAGCCTTTTCTGCTCCCTTCTCTAGTCTTAACTTGTGTATTCTTGCTCTTCTTTGTGCCTGAGTTCACCAAAATAAAACAAGTTAAGCAACATACATACATATACTCCTCACATTGCAGGGCAAATGATCAGACATTTGAACTTTGTTACAACTTTTATTTGCAATATAATAGCTCTATGAAAAAAAATAGATACACAACAAGTAACAGTTATGTCAGTCTACTAAACATTACAATAATCATTTGTTTAAATAGATTCAGAAAAAAGCTGAAAACTGATAAGGAATGAAGAGGCAAGAGAAATTTACTTTTTCAATTAATCTGTTGCAGCATTCAAGCTAGCTAATTGTTATTCATAACCACATAATACTTGTACAAATGATGTCTTAGAGAGAATCAGTACCATCAGAGAGCAGGCATTCATGAAGACTAAGAGTGTGTTTGGGTGAGCTAATGCAAACTTAATTCTGAATTATCTTGAATTAGTAAAATAAATTTTAATTAAAAGTGAGTTCAAAGTGAAGAGACATAAGTTTGGAATTGTTTACCTTGAAAGTAAGTTTGTCGTAAAACATAGTATAAAATTAAAATTTTCAACCAAAAGCAAAAGCTACTGAAGACTTGGCTTTGGATCAAAATTTATTTTTGAGTTAAAATCTCATTTGAAACAAGATGGAACTGCAACACCAAACATCTTGAAATATGACTAAACACGTGTTCAATGTTGCACACAAGGGTTAGAGCCATGCCAATGTATAGCCAAACGTATAACATTTTGTTTCCAAAGTATTACTTACCCCATGCAAAAACTAATTACAGAATTCAGCAACCATTAACAGTAAATAGATTAACAAAATAGACACCATGGCTTGTTCACACCACAAGAATACACTTTTACACAGTTGCCTATCAATATTAGTTATAGAACTCTTAGTAAGGCAAATTAACATGACATTGAGAACGTATGAGCAAGCATATGAAGAAACAAACTATCCACTCTGCTCATTACAAAGTCTCAGAGGAGATACAGAGCCTCAAAAACTAGAGAAGCTGCTTCAAATATGTATATGTATTAGTAACAAAATAGAATAAAATAAAATAGAAACTCATTGCATCAAATAAACCTTCAAAGGCATGCCGGATGCAACAACCACACACATAATTACAAAACTACACACAGCTCAGTCCAAGAGTAAACCCTCAAATTAGTCCAAAGTTTATAAAATCTCATGGACTACTAAAATACACAACCTTATACAATCTCAAGTACTAATTTGGGACTTTACTCAATTAATAACCCATATGATATAATAATAAGTCTCAAAAGAACTGAACATTACAGGAGTCTCAGTCACTGGCACAGGAGGAGCATATTCAGGATCACCAGGCTCAGCAAACTTACTCACGAACTGCGCCATCCCTTAAAAACAGAAATCCATATACATACACACATAAAGAAACATCAATAATCATTGTTAACTAACAACAAAATAGCGTAAAATTAATGCGAAACGGAACATAAACAATCATCAAATCAAACACCACCTGTAAGCGGTGGACACTTTCTTTTCTCGGGAGGAGGTTTATATTCCAAGGGAGGCCTAGGCTCAAAGAGCTTCAACAGGTTCGCTGTGAGACCAGTAGGGTGACTCTGTCCAATCTGCATCACAACACAGACATAAATCACAACGAAATGAGTATGCAATCCACTGTCTAGGGTTACGAGCGAAAAACCCTAGCTACAGTAAAAAACGAAATCTCGTTGAGATTAAGCAAAATAAGGGAAGTGAAGGATGGAAATAGAAGGCATATGGATGAGAGAGGAACCAGCTTGAGCTGAAGGACGTTGGCGCGGTTCTGGGCTTTGGTACGGGCCTGAACAGCGGCGTTTTGGTTGCGCATGAGAGGATCGTTGTTGAAGTCTCCCATGGCGAAGCTGAAAAGAGATGTTGAATCGCAAAGAAAATGGATCGATTCTAATAACCTCGCGAGATCCGACTTGTGTCCCAGTTATGGGCGCTACAGATTTTCCATTGTCACTGCCAGGTATTTATAGTGAAACCATGCGATGCCTCTCTCAGGCACTGCAAAACATTTTGGACGGGTTACCGATCGTAAATGGAAATTAAATACTTATTTTTTTCAATTTTTAATGAATAAAAAATTAAATAATATATTGCGTAATTCATTCATATATTAATAAAAATAACATAACATTTATTTACACTTAAATAATTTATTTATTTATCTATCTATATTTATATCTATTTATCTAAAATTTATAATTTTTCAATATATATTTATATTTTATATTTTTATAATATATATATACACACACATAAACTTCTATCTTCAATCTTCAATTTGCATTTTATTATCATTCAATTAAATATAAATATTAATATAGTATTATATTATAATTATAATATTAAATTGTTTATTATAATATAAAAACAATTTATCAAATTATTAATATTATTTATTTTTTAAAACATATTATAAAAAATTTTATTTATATTTTATACAAAAAGAAAAGATAGTCCATTAAATATTTTAAATATATTCATTTCATACATGAATAATGTATTTTTATATTCTTATTTTTATATTTTGTTTATTACTTCTTAAAATAAACTTTACATTTTTAACTATATACGATAATTTTAGCATTAATTTTTTAGTTAATATCGTAGGCTATAGACCACACTCTATTGTAACTAATATAGAAATAAAAAAACTTTTGTTATATTTTTATAAGTTGATAAATTTTTATGAGAAAGACTAAAGATAAAAAATTTAAATTTCAGAAAATTTTGGTAAATTATTATAAAAGAGGACTTGTTTCAAAAGATTTTTTTTAATATCTCTTATACAACTTTAAATATTAATTTATAATTAAAAATACACTACAATAATTATAAATATTATTATTGAATAATCATTTGAATTATTACATAATTTTTACTGTTTACAGATTCTTTTTTTTGCTTTGTCATTTGCTCTTTTCTTTTATTATTGATAAATTTCTATTAATAGGTTTCTTCCGTTGCCTTGTCAAACTTTTACTGTTTCAATGTCAAACATCCTTTAATAAATTTTGTCAGAACAAAATTTTACAATAGAGGGGAGAAGATCATTTAACAATCATCTTCATTATTAAAAAAGTAATTAGGATTTAGGCTACTTTTAACCTCTTCTTCACCTTCATCTTGGGAGGCTTAAGAGGATGTTAAGATATCATGTAAAATCTTGTTAAATTCTATTTTAGTTTTTGCCAAAGATAATGGTGTTATCATTCCTTATTTATTTTGTAAGAATAAAGATTGTTAATTGAGGGAGATACTAGTTGTTAATATTGTTGTTTGGCTTTCTTCTTTGATCCTTAAGCGTTGTAACCACTAATCAATTTTTTATTTAGTAAGTAAAGCTAAATTAAATTAATTCCACTATTTGACTTTGATTACTCTTACCAAGTATTGTACACTTGTATTTTTCTACTAATTTAGTAGAATCATACCCCCACATGGTGATCCAAGTAATTCATTGGGTTGCCATAAAAAAGATAAGTTTATAATCCTCAACAAAATTTGTCTTCAATGTAAACTACTAGAAGTTTATGATAATCTCTTTGGGAAAAATAAATTGAACTAGTCCAAATTCTTGAAACTATTTTGGGAATTATAAGGAAATTCCCTCACTAAACTAAGGGAATCAAGAATGAGTAGTGGGTTGCATAAACAACATGTTACTCTAAGCATTCATATAATTAAAATAATTATATTATTGTGGCTAATATTGTATTGTAAAGCTCTTTGATTGATAAGGAAGCTGTTGCTAATCTCGTATTGTTAAAATATTTAGTATTTTTGTTTTTGAAATATTATTTTTCTATTTAGGATCTTGTTGATGAGTTAATTCTATAGATTGTGTATCTAATAGAATTAATTCATAATGTTGTCTCTCTTTTGCATAAGAACCTAATATAAAATGGAACATTTTCAGGAAATATTCTCTTTAGTATTTCATGTAATAGTAAACTAAATCATTCTGGTTCAATTCCCATTGGTATTGTAAAATATTTTTCTTGATAAGTACTTTTAATTATTGTTTATTTTTTACTATCTGGCTCATTATTTATTGAAGTCTTTTTTGTTAAATCTGATTTTATGATTCGGGGCAGACCATATAGGTCTTTTGTTATTCTAGACATTGCTTTCCCTGTAAAACTTATCTAGTAAAAAAATTTGGTAATATATATATTTTTCCTTTGATATGTTGATTTTCAAAATTAAAGTTTGATAATAAAGCTTATCACTTTACAAAAATATGTTTTGGAACAATATTTTTAACATTCTTTTGTAAAACTTGTGGAGCACCCTTACAATCTATTTTTATTAAAAAATAATTATTAAATAATTGATAAAATTTATTTACACACTTTAATTAATTCAAATACTACATGTCAGTTTTTCTTCACAAGGTCACTAGACTATGATCCTATAACGGATCAACCATCTTTATTCATTTATCATTTGTCTTTCTGAAAATTTTTGTAAGGCTGAGTATTGTTTTGTCCCATTAAATCTCTTATTTAACAAAAGAAATATAAATATATATATATATACACACACACACACATAATATTTGAAAATATTATCTAATATACATTGAATTAATAATAACACTTGAATCATACAAATTATTATCACAATGGAGCACACACAACAAATCAATCATCTTTGTTAATATTTATAACATATATTTTCACGCTAATCTATATGTCATAATAGATGTATTATACCATATCAATTAATATGTCACAATACATGTATCCTATTCGCATTTGTCGATGTATTACAACACATATATCATAACAGTACCAACCAATATGTTACAACATATATTATAATCACACAATTTCTATACTATTTCATATCCATCATCATTTCACAATCATTACCCCTAGGATCCCTTGAGGATTTCATAGCATAGATAGTTGCTGGATAGCTATTGCACACGATACAACGTGTACCAACTCAACCCCTTTTAGCAAAAGTGTGGTTAGAGGTTTAGGTCAAGAAATAAGTGTAAGGCACACGTGTTTTTTTCCTCTAATTTCATTAATTATGTGCATTTTATAGAAAAACATCTACCACCCTCATTTCCCCAAGTTTTTCCAATTGCCCCCGTCTTCCATACCTTCAATGTATCTCTGTGACTATTTATACTTATTATCAACATTTCTCATATCATTCTCTTTCTTTCTCACATACTTTTCATAGATTAACATATCATAATTTGTGAGTTATGATTATATTAATCAATGTATTACAATACCTATATTATAGTACACCCTTCGATGTATCATAATACTTGTATCATAATCACACCTCTCAATTTGTTATGACTCACGCATTATGATCACACATCTCATAATTGTCCAATCATGTTATATTATTCACTTTTGTACATAATACTCTCTCTTCATCCAAGAATATTCAAATATTTTTCATCATTAATATAAATCTACCAATTTCAACACCCCTTAGCTATCATACAACATCCATATTTATTATATCATCTAACACAGAAAGATCATCAAACAATTTCACACCACACAGACCAATACAATGTGTCAAAGGTCAAACACCTCTGAACTCAGTCCAATCGTACAATCAAATATACATATTTTCTTAGTAATAATAAAGTTGTCTATCTTAAAGTTTGGCATCATCCAATATTCACTAGTAAAATCATAATATTTCTCAAAAATGGTTATGTTAAGAGCTTTTACTATAAATTGTATTTAACTAGTTTTAAAAATAATCCTGGATTTTTCATGTCAAAAATCTTTATACCTACACTTGAGATTTAAGGAAACATTAAGATTCTAGGGTTCTAATAGAAAAACTTAGTATTTTCAAACCAAAGTACCAAAAAGGAGTTATGGTTTAGGATTAATTTTCCTTACCTATAAATAGGTTTCTTAAACTACTTTTTTTACAAGATCTACAGAGAAACGCAATGTTATGGTATGAGATGCTACCCAAGGACTAAGATTTTTCTTAGATATCTTAAAAGAAGGCACTAGTAAAAAGAGAGAAAACAAAGGAATAGAACAGAATTTTGAGAACTAAACTTCGAGAAACTTATTTGGGATCAGAAGGAATAAGCTCAGATCTAGAGTAGATTAAGAGTTTAGGAGAGTTTTCTCTAGGAAGGAAAGGTGAGAGAGTAGAGAGAAATGAGAGGGAAGGTGTTTGGCTTAAAAAATGAAGTTCTTAGGATAGAAGTTTTTTAAATATCCCTCAAACTCGCGACTTTTTCGTTATGGCGAACAACTCTCCCGACAATGAAAAAACTAGATAACACTTTTCTTTTGTTGTTTATCATTCTAGCTACAACGAGAAAATCCTTTGCTACAGCGAGAGTGCTGTTGGGTTATTCTTATCCACTTCTGATTATAGTGAGACTCCTTCACTACAGTGAGAGGGCTCTAATGGGCCTAGTCCAAAATGCTCTTTCTCACTACAACGAAACATCTCGCTACAACAATAAATCTAGCACCAAAATTTCTATTTTTCTAAAAACAAGGAAAATAAATTGAGGGTGCTATACTAGATACCCAAATGATATCAGATGACTTGTTTTTTTATAGACTGAGGATGTATGTGTTTAAGAATTTCACTATAACTAAGTTTTGATGCATTTGTTTTTACTACTAATGATGATGATGATGCATTTGAACCCAAAATTCCTAGACAAAGAATATTTTTTTACTATGGTTTTAATCAATTTTTATGGTTTCACTCATATCTTCATCTTAAGCCAAAGAGTCTTTTTTAAGTCTAGAATTTAGAGGCACATATATTGTCTTAATATTTGGCAAAATAATATGATATGTAATTTAAATATCCTTGAAATCTCTATTTTTTTTTATCTTTAATTTTGTTAGAAAATTTATTTGCAAATTTTAATGATCTTTGTATTTGCATAAAGGTTTCTTGATGAATATCATATATATATAAAAAAAAACTTATTTTTGTCTAGAATATACTAGTATCATTTTGTTTAATTAATTTTATAAATTTATTAAGATGTTGAATGTGTTGATTTATTCCATTC